CGGTTCAATCCGGTCAAAGCGAGTTGAACCTGGTGTTGATGAGTTCTAAGTCGGGAGCGAGTATTATTCGCTTTAGTGTTTTTCATTTCTCTTTTTCGTTTTGGTTGAGAATGACAATTGAACCCAAACCCACGAATATCCAACCTAATGCAACCCGGTCAATGCAAGTTGAACTTTTTATGCCACATGATGGGCAGCCCTATTGAGATAGCGGAGAACAAAACAGTAAGAAACCCAACTACAGAGAGAAGCCGAGCTCTGAGCATCCTGCAAGATAGTTCCATCCTGATCATGAGCCAAGTCACCTGTCTGAGGAAGTCCCACCGATAACGGGAGCTCTTCTGCGTGCCTCTACGAAAAAAAAAAAAAAAAACAAAACACACAAGCGTCCCCACTGGAGGCAACTAAGCTCCACCAAATGGACTTAAACAAGCCACTCAACTGTTTTCATTCATATTTTGTATTAGAAATTATTTTTGTAATTTTACATGAGCTCTTATATTAGAAAGTACTTCTAGTAGTTTTTCAGCCACTCAACTGTTTTTTTTTTAATACTTCTCCAAAAGATTCAGCAAAAAACGCAGAAGATACAGAAGAGCAACTAGCCCTACAAACTGAAACAATAGTGTCATCAGAGAAGTTTAAATATAAATTATTTGTTCGACGAGCTTTCTTCCTTATGCAAGTTCATCGCTTCATCGACCACATGTGTTTTAACTAACAAACTAATGGTAAGAAAGATTAAGAATGTAATAAGATCACTTTCACTTTGGATCAACATTAAAACTATTACTTTTTAAAATATATGTTTTTGTGCACATGCAAGCGATAGCGAGCGTGTTTTTACTAGTGTACTATAATTTGGAATATACACTAGTTAAATACCATTTTGTCAGTTACTTTATGAAAAATGTTTGGTTAAGACTCGATACTTAACTGATATGTATGTTGAAACTTCTTATTTCTCTCCTCAATTTGATACAAGATGCACATTTCCTATCTATTTAAAATGTTTAGTTAATACTCAATGAACAATATTGTAGTAATCAAGTACCAGAAAATAGGGCTAAAAAATGATTAACATGTTAACGATGTAACCGATAACCGAACCAGAATCGGTGGTTAACGATTACACTGATAACTGATTAATTGTAAACGGTCGGTTCCCGGTAGCCAAATTTAGTGGATTACTAACGGTTAATAACCGATGGTTAAACGGTTAACCGACTAACCTATTACGACCATCCTCATAGTTAGGGCCAAAAATAATAGGCTCAATGAGCTGCACACATAGGCAAAAAATAATGGGATGCTTCAAGGCCTATAAGATCTCTTGCCTACGCTAGTTGTAATAGTGACTTAATTTCAAATGAAAAAGGCTTTAGAAGGAGCAAAGTAGAAAATTGGACTTGGGAACAGTAGCTCGACAATAATCAGTAACATTTTCGACATAATTTGCAAGGGTTTATGAGTTGAGTAATTATTGTTTACTCTCTTATACTTGTATGCTTCTTTAATTAAATTTGATAGTAGAATGGTGTTATTATATACTTATGTTGGATTGAGTTGATTATGAATTAATGTCTATATTAAATTATTTTTAGTTAATGATAACAACTTAAAAAAGAATATTTATGTATGTAGGAAAAAAAATATAAAAATGCACAATTGAAAAAAAGAGGAGGTCTTCTGTTGGTTAGCTTTGAGGTCCTTGTCGAGTCACTTGCTTAACGGTTATCTGGTTAACCGACAAAATAAACGAGAACCGACTATACGGTTACGGTTAACCGACTAATTTAAACAGTGCGGCTAACTGTAAGCACAAAGTGCTTAATGGTTAATCAAGAAACGACTAAACAGTTATGGTTATAACCGAACCGAACCGATTGTCACCCCTAGCAGAAAACAGTATGAAGTAACTAAACATATTTTCATAATTCAGTTTCAGAACTCACTAAAATTCTCAGCTAAACAAGTTTTCTTCAGGTTTTGTTTCTCAGGAAATGGCAACTCGTATTCATTTTAATTTGTTTTCTGTTGAGGCAGCTATAGTAAACGCAATGGCAAGTAAACATGCCATAAAGTTAAATGTGCTCAGTGTCGAGTACTGCAAGGATTTGTGATCTTATGGAAAGTCATTGATATGCACTCTAAGTTGAAATCCTTGAGAATCTAGGCTCATAGTGGACAATATATACGTCGGGAAAAGGTACAGAATGTTACAAATAATTTTTTTGTGTGGAAATAATTTAGTATTTTATTGAAGAACGTTCAGTAAAATTTCGGGTTGGATCACATCCTTAAGCCCCAAACTTAAGAAGTTTCTTAAGCTTTGACTGACCAATAAGGAGAGGAGAGAGTGATGAAGGCTAACTAACTAACTAAAAGGATAAATAGGGAATTTTAATTAATTATTCAACGTAATTAGTATTAATTATTAACAGAGAAAAAATAGAAAACAGGTCTCTAAAATCCGCCACTTTCTTGATTTCCATATTCTCTCTCGTTGATAAAAAAACTACTCGAGCGATCCGGAAAAATCCGCCGGCCGAGTCCATCAACGGCGAGAACGGGTTTTTTGCAGCGTTGTCGTATTTGAAGCCCCCATCGACGCCGTATTTGAAGCCGACAACGGCTCCTGATATTGCATCGTCGACGGGATTCAAAGCCGACACCGTCGATCGAAATTGAAAGTATTACAGCGTCGCCGGAATCCTATCCTATTCCTCGTCAGTCGTCACCATCATCAGTAATGGACAATCCGCATGGTTTCGCGATAGATATGTAGTTGCTATATGTCCACAAATTTTACATGGTTTAAGGCAATTGTTAAAGGTTATGTAATCATTATTAATGATTTACCTTATCGTTATTACCATTTTAATGGCATGTTCTCTATTGTTTTTCTACTCGTGAAATTTTAAATTTTCGTAGAACATCGTAGGTAAATTCATTAATGATATAGCGGGGTATCAGTGGTAAAGGTTGCTAATGGTTTTTTATTTTTATAGTGTGTTGTTAACAATTTTTGTTTGAATTATTAGTTATTTTCAATACCATTATCAATAATATCCTAATGTAGTGTTGGTTAATGTTATTAACGTGTTGTCTGGACATGTTTAATCAAACAATTGAGGGATCATTAACACTAATAGTGTTCATTGTTAAAAAAAACTGTGAAATCGTAGTACAACTCTAGGAGGTATTGTAGCAATTATTGACGCTTATGAAGGAATCATGAAACTTATATCACATCGTCATTACCGGCCTGAATAACATTATCAATGATATACAACATTTTTTTTCTAATGATTCACGTTTTCACACCATGTTCATGACTAGCCAATCACAACATCTTCCAGTGACATTATTAACGTTTTGCGATGAATTGATATCAGTTTACATTGTCCTTCTCAACAATCATGAAGCACAACTCTTGTTTTCAATATATTCGACACTTGAGACAACATGCATTTGTGATTCACTCAAGCAAACATTAGTTCATGGAGGTGCAAAACATCAGCCAAGCAAAATGAGATTAACACCCTAGCACAACACCGTTAATAATGATAAATCAATTCATTGATAACATAATTGTATTTCATTGAAAACAAGCATAAAAATTAAAAACATTAATAATGTCTCCACTCAATGTTAAGTAACAAATATCATCCAAAACTTTCATATGAATGTTGTATTTCATTCGAAAATAAAACAAAAACATTATTAAAAAATGACTCAACTGTTAATAGCGACATTGTAAATTATTAACCATACTATGTCTCTTTAAAATGCAAAGCAAACACGTTAATAGTGATGGGATTTATGGTTATTAACCATAGTATGTGTTATTAATAATAATGACTCCTTACAAAAAATTATAATGCTTAAACCCTATCCTTAAAATGACAAAGATAATTATTAACCATAACGTAGTGAACTCCTTAAAATCCGGCCCTCTCTCCTTTAATTAAATTCAATATTACTCAACACCCTAATTACCCTTAACTACCCCGTAACCATTAACCAAATATTAACTACCTTAAACACTTTGAGCCAATAAAAACAACTTAAGATTCTTCTTAAGTTTCTACCCTTAAGGACCTGAACTCATCTCGTAAAATTTAAAGAATGAAAAGTCAAGACTCCAACATGAAGGTTGTCAACCCGCGGGTTGACCCGGACCTGGTCGAGCTAGTGGGTGAAGGTTCAACAGGTCACCCGTTTTAGCCCGGAAATATGAAAAGAGTAATTATATTATACTTATCCTGATAAATTATATCAAATCTCATCAACATATGAGTAATAACATATAACATTACACCAAAGTAACATGTCGTACTTAGATCAAACATATGGGGTCGTTTGGATGTGGTAATTTAATGCAGTAATTGGATCTAATTACCACATAATGCAGTAATTGGGTTAAAAACCCACGTTTGGGAGAGCAAAAAGAGTATGGAAATTGGACCATGGAAATTGGCTTTAATTACCACATTCATGGTAATTGAGAATACTACACCTCCCCCTAGTAATTTGATATTACCACGTTTTCTTACTTCTTTTTTCAAATTCCACACCATCAATTCTCACAAAACTAAACCCTATCCAAACATGAATTTTTTTCAATTTCCACAAGTCAATTCCTTGGTTTTGTAAAACATGGAAATTCAGACAAATTTCAACGTTTTCAAATTTCCACATCCAAACGACCCCTAGTGAAAATTCACACACTATATAACATCAATTTTCAAATGTTCAATTAAGGATTCCAAAAATTGAGTTAGACGAAAAGAAAATTGAAAAATATGCACATTTTACAAACCAAGGAAAAAAAATGACACAATTTGACCTAAAATCCAATACCTTATAGCGATCGACCCGACGGATGTGTATGACCCGTTTTTCTCACCAGGACAGGATCAAATGAATCGACCCGCGAGTTGACAACCTTGTCCGGTCCAACATTCAACAAAATCTTCATCCACGAGGGAGGGATTCGGATCACTAGCTGGCGTTTCCTAGCACTAGCAGAGTTGGAAACGAATAGTCCGCTTCCATTTTGATTCCTTCGTCCATCGTCTCGTAGCTCTCGTCCTCTCCCTCTCCCTGCTTCCTTCCAGCGTTCCGGAAGCGGTAGAAAAGATGGATCGATCCCAAATCCTGCTGTTAGGGTTACCAATCTTCCTGTTCTGCTCCGATGTATTCAACCTCTTCTTAACTTCTCCTCCGCCTCCCAAACCATCCAAGCATGGCGATATCCATATCCATCAATCCCCGCCCAAACTCCAACAGCCGCAGCAGCCCCTCCAGTTCCCCACCCAGGTATGTGCATATCCCGTTTCGATCTCTCTCGTCATGTGTTCTCCCCTGAATTCGATCTGGGTACCCTATAAATTCTAACCTTTTTTCATCGCTTCCGTCGACTTGTTAGAAATCGACTCCCTCGATCGGAGGATTGGGCAGCGTTGGCGTTGGCAGCACTGTTAACATCAACTTCTGCAGTTCTTGCTCTTACAGGTTTGGCCTCCCTTTCCCCTCTATTTCAATTCTGAACTGAACTCGAATGGCGACTAGATGTAGCGTTTAAGTTGAGGTGTGGTTTTTGACAGAGGGACTGCTGTAACAATGAAAAACATGTTGGAGTCTGAGTTCCCTGGCCTGCAAGTGGTTTTAGCGAATTACCCACCACCACTGCCAAAACGCCTTTTGGGGAAATTAGTGCCAGTGTTTCAGTTTGGGATGATTGGTTTGATTATGGGAGGTGAGCAGATTTTCCCCAGGCTAGGGTTTGCTGCTCCACCTGCTTGGTACTATTCCTTGCGAGCCAACAGGTTTGGAAGTATTGCAAGTGCTTGGATGTTAGGCAACTTCTTCCAGTCCTTCCTCCAGAGCTCTGGTGCCTTTGAAGTTTACTGCAACGGGGACATGGTAAAGCTTAAACCTTGGTCTCTCTTTATGTAGGATTTTGTTGTTGTGATGGTTGTCTTTTGTGTTAATGTTGTTTTAAACACGAGCTACTCTTGTCTTTGCTATGGTTGGTACTTCCCAGGTTTTCTCTAAGCTGCAAGAGCACAGGTTCCCTGGTGAAATTGAGCTGAGGGATATGGTTGGGAAAAAGCTGGCTTACTCACCAAGCGTTATTTAGGGAGATAGCAGCCACCTGACCTTTGCTGCCGTCTTTGGAATCTCTATTATGATCTGGATGCTGTGCTTCACACGAGTATGATGACCAAGGAAAGGTTTCAAGATGCATCTGTGTACTCTCCATTCAACTTGTAGCCTTTTATTTCTCTACTACATCTTCACTTTTCACACACAGTTTGATCTAGGCATAAGCTTCACAAAGACATGATAATTTTGTGTGCGGGTTTCAATTACTTCAAAGTATCGTATCAAAGGCAAATCGAGCAATCATAGTACTTTTCAATCAGAACTGTTCTTTGTTAGAATCCTTGCTATATTATTCTCTTTTTATTTCCTTCCTCACCTGCTGCATTGCATGGTTGTGAAAGCAGAACAGCCAGGGAGGTAAGCTTTCAACATGAAAGCATCTACAAGGATATCATCTTATTGAAACTCTTTTACCAGCACTAGCAATTGTTCTCTGTTAATTGCAGGCCGGAAAATATGGTCTGGTCTAAGCTCTACCGTCTAATTAGATGCATATCTAGGAATTGTATTGAATTGAACATCAGACTTCAGTATCACTCATCAATTCTGGCCGTCGAGTCTTCTTCTGGTCTTCCAGACAGGCTCAGAGTTGCCACCATTTCTTCTTCTCCATTCTGTTGGCAAGCTCCTTGGCCATTGATGCATAGTCTTGAGATCTACTTTCCAGCTCCTCTGAATGTTGACTGATTTTCTGATGCAAACAATAATTCCCCCAAGCAAACTTGGAACTGTATGAAACCCGTCAACAAAAATCTGACTATCCTAGTGAATAGGGTAAGCAACTAAGCATCATATTTATGCTTGCTCATCGGGGTCACGAGAAGAAAATATCAAAATAAGCGAGTTTGATACGTTTACATCTCATGCAATCACGAACATGAAGGTCGAGCAGATACAAAAACGTACGTATTCAATGGTCGAGCCCATTTACAAACAAGATGAAAAAATAAAGTTGGTGTCTCACCTCCAATTTCTCTTTTCTTTCTACAAGCATATTCTTGGCGTGTGCAGCGGCTGAGGAGACATTATTCTGAACGTTTGTTTTTTTGTTTTTGGCACCAACATCATCGAGTTAGGAAACGGAAGCTATTCCTAAATGGAGAATGTTATAGAAAGGACTTCCTGAAGTAAAGAAGCTCACCGCAGATTTCCTGTATTTGGCTCTGATTTCCTCAGGAGTCATGGCTTTAGGCTTTGTGACGTTGTTTGAACCACCAAGAAGTTGCGCCCTTTCCGTTCTGTTCTCTGTTAGCATACGCAGAAACCCATTTATTTGATCATCAATCTACATATGATGAAAAGAAGTGAAAACCTGGTGTCGTTCATACCAAGGGAGGAGGCTGTTGTCGTCATTTTGGAGGGGTTGCTGTATGTTTGAGACTCAGAAAGACACCCGCAGATCATGAAGGCTTGTTGAGAGCGGAAATGGATAGAATGTAGAGAGAGAGAGAGAATGATTTGGATTTTGTTTGCTTGAAGATCCACGCTTCTTAAATAATGAACAAAAACTGGCCTCCCAAGAAATGTGCGTTTTCTAACAACAAAGACGATTGCTGACCTCTGGCTCGACTCCTAAGAACCAACGATGATGGTTTGGCGCTATATTAGGCGCCTTCTTTAATTGGTAACATCGAGGAATATGGAAAATCTCATGTACAAGAATCCATAAAAAAAAAAAAAAAAGAAGCTTCAAACCAAACCTTTGGTCAAGGGGTTTACTGGTTAAGTAATTCTAAGGTCATCAAATCCACATGCACTCATATACTTATATCCCGGCAGTCCTCTGCATCTCAGGAGCAGCGACAAGACGAATCTAAAGGCCACAACATGCCATAGCTGCATCAACAACCGCAACTAATTGCTGCATTAATCATTCATATGTGACACCATTTCCGTTTCTCGATTACCTTGACAGAAGTCTTATGCCTCATTCTGCAGCTCTGCTGTTGTCTCTGTCAGAAGACAATAAGGAGAAAGTAAAACAGTGGGAATATTGAGAAGATGGAACATAAAGGGAAGAAGAGATGAGTCAGATTCATAACGTGCTTCACGAGACAAGTTCATAAATGGGGTTGGTTTTGTAAACTTGCTCTCCATATGACAGAAATTCTGGGTATAAAGATGCATATGAGAATGTTCCATGTTGTGGTCTTCTTTACAGCCTTTAAAACTTCAGGCAAGACAACCAAAGATTTCTTCCATGTTGTGGTCTTCTTTACAGCCTTTAAAACTTCAGGCAAGACAACCAAAGATTTCTGGTTCAGTATCCGACATGTAAGAGTAGTTCATTAATGTTCCCATAATCAAGTTACCACGGATTCTAAAGTTCTGATTTTCTGGGATATTATTCCATATTTTGGGTTATTCCCTGTTTTTACTAGTGTTCTTGTTGTGGGTTGAGATTTGACAAAAGTTCCATTCTTGGACATACCCATCACAACTGGCCCTGCTCTGTCACAGTCACCATCACCGTGGTTCATATCCCATCTCCCACTCTCACCCTTGCTTCTGTTTCGGATGACATTTCCTACTTGGCTACTTCTGTTTCGAATAGAACTAGTAGCTAGCTTAATGTCATAGAATCAAATTTGGGGATGTAGCTCAGATGGTAGAGCGCTCGCTTAGCATGCGAGAGGTACGGGGATCGATACCCCGCATCTCCATTTTTCTTCAAATTTTTCCCTTCTAAACGACACCAGTAGCTGCGTTGCGGACAGGCCCATATCGGATCTGAACAGCGAATAACGCACGCGCCAATACCGAAGGTTGCTCTCCGATTTAATTCTAACGCTGTGAGGTTAATTAACGCTTAAAACGTTAACCAAGCTTTCACTTTCTAGTTTCTACTTCCAAACTTTCGTCTTCTCGGATATCTGTCTACCCAATTGGGGTTTTAAAGCCACCTGCCGTGCTGTAGCTGCCAACTTGCCAGAACGCTGGCATAGATTTGCGTGCCCCTCGCCATATCCATTTTCCTCACTCTATCTGCGTTCCCAAAAAGGCAAAAAGATTAGCCCTTTCTGTCCTTTCTTTGGTTTTGGTCGCTTTGCTCAATTGAAGAAGAAGGGCTTCATTTCTCGCTGCAGTCAATCATGACAGTTCTGGGATCCAAGCTTCATCAAGGTGCGTGCTTTTCCTCCGACAAGATCAAATTTCAAATCTTCCATTAAATCACTGGTCGTGACTCTGTGAGAATTCGGTTATTTTCCCTTTTAAGTCCCTTCCTGGGAATTTAATGCTTCCTGCTCTGTTAAGGCCACCACCGGTTGAAATTTTCTGAATAAGGGTTGTCTGGGCTTGTACTCGTTTTACTTTAGCCTGTTACATCGAATCTGCAAAAAGAAATTTGGAGTTACCAGTTTCATGTTCTCGTGATATGGTCCCTCTGTACCGATCAGAATTGCTCTCCTTCATCTGGGTCTTTTTCCTTTTATGATGATGCTTAGATGCGGCGAAGGATAGGTTTATATTAACTGTGCTGATCAAACATACAATTCCACTGTTTTTGCAGATGAACTTAATGGCGGTGCGAGGAGTTCCTATTTCAATTCCCCTCCTCTGGATGTCTCGGTTGCATTCCCTCAGGCAACTCCAGCTTCCAAATTTCCTCCTCATGGTAACAAGGCGTCTTGGGAATTTCGGTTTTAGTATCTAAAAGATCGTTTTTAAAGTTTAATTGGGGGATCCTCGTTTAGCTCATTGCTTAATCTTATCTTTTGTACCGTTTGCAGTTGCGGACTACTACCAGTTAGATGATCTGTTGACCCCTGAGGAGCAGGCTATAAGGCTCAAAGTCAGGCAGTGTATGGAGAAAGAAGTAGCCCCTGTAATGGCTGAGGTAGATTTCATTATTATGTTACTGTTAATGTCGGATTAAGTCCATCGTGCCGTGTTGGATTGGTTATAGATGATGTTTAAAGAAGAAGAAATGTACAATTGAAGGTTTGCTGCTATTCTTTCCTCAGTACTGGGAGAAGGCAAAGTTCCCATTTCATGTCATTCCGAAGCTAGGTGAAATGTGTGTTGCAGGTGGTACAATCAAGGTGAAATTTGCTTTCTTTCTTGCCCTTCTATTTTCTGTTCTGTTCCTGGAGGAACAAATGGTTGTCATCTGATGATGTGATTGATACTCAGGGTTATGGATGTCCTGGCCTTTCCATCACTGGCAGTGCTCTTGCCACTGCCGAAGTTGCTAGAGTGGATGCTAGTTGTTCTACTTTCATTTTGGTGCACTCATCTTTAGCAATGCTCACCATAGGTAAGCTCCTAAGCTCCTTAAGTCTTATATTTTGGAGTATATCTCACAGTTATACTGGTTCTGAATGGTGAATGTTGACCTTGATTCACATTTATTGTGATTGCCAAGAACAGCTCTCTGTGGTTCAGAGGAACAAAAGCAGAAATATTTACCATCGTTGGCACAATTAAGCAATGTGGCATGTTGGGTAGGTAACTAATTCAGCTGCAGAAGTATTTTGTGGCTGCTCTTATGCTGCAGTTCCTGTGATTCAGATATTTGTTCTCTTGTTTCGTCACAGGCTTTGACTGAGCCTGACTATGGAAGCGATGCAAGTGCTTTGAGAACAACAGCAACAAAGGTCTGCCCTTTCTTGTTCGTATTATGTCCTCTTCATTTCAATCTTGTTGAGTGTTTCTTAGAGCTTTGAGTATGGATCACATAATTGCTCTTGTGCTGGGATATAGGTTGCTGGTGGTTGGATACTCGAAGGCCAAAAACGTTGGATCGGAAATGGTACCTTTGCGGATGTATTGATTATCTTTGCCCGAAATGCCTCAACAAATCAGATTAATGGGTATGTCACTGCAGAAAGGAAAAACCAACTGATGCCTTTCTGGTCCTATTGTTGCTAGCGTATTGACATAATAATCAAGCCTTTGTCGTGGACTACTGTTTTTTCAAAGATTTAAGAGCGAGCATGATGCTTCTATTGATTTATATAAAAGTGAAATGGTTACCGAGTGTTTCAGTGAGGTATTTAACTCCTTAGAATCCAAAAGGTAGAGAGTGGGGAGCAGTAGTTTAAAAAGATGATTTGACAGTTATTGGCATTTACAAGTGAAGCCAAGATCAATCAAGTTTATCCTACCTTATCATTTGTTCTTCATCAGAAAGTAGACAGTGCAGTTTATTTTTGTTCGTGAAGGGCTACTGCGTCCCTAAATCCGCATTTACAGTAAATGCTGCCTTTTAACTCTTCTGTTTTCTGTGCTTGGCTCGATTTCAGATAACTTTTCTCTGTTGTTTCAGATTTATTGTGAAGAAGGACGCCCCTGGACTAACAGCTACAAAAATAGAGAACAAAATCGGCCTGCGAATTGTGCAGAATGCAGACATTGTCATGAACAAAGTTTTTGTACCTGACGAGGACAGGTTGCCTGGGGTCAACTCCTTCCAAGACACAGCCAAGGTTAGTTGCTCGAACATTGATTCTTCTTAAATATCCTGAAAATAATGAACACAAACTTACCAGGCAATCAGATTTTTTGCACGAAATAAATCTCATATCGGGCTTTTGCTGGCTTTGTCAACTTGGAAACCAGGTGCTGGCTGTTTCACGTGTGATGGTGGCCTGGCAGCCGATCGGGATATGCATGGGGATCTACGACATGTGCCACAGGTACCTTAGAGAGAGGAAGCAGTTCAAGGCACCGTTGGCGGCTTTCCAGATCAACCAGCAGAAGCTTGCTCAGATGCTTGGCAACATCCAAGCCATGACCCTGGTTGGTTGGCGGCTCTGCAAGTTGTACGAAGCCGGCACGATGACTCCAGGTCAAGCCAGTTTAGGAAAGGTATGGTGCTCATCCTAAACCCCACTAGCCAGATGTTCAAGGTTCAGCTTTTGAAGCTCCATTGATCACATTGGTTGTTTGTGTGTTTATCGGCGGCAGTCATGGATCACATTGAGGGCGAGGGAAACGGCTGCACTGGGGAGGGAACTTCTTGGTGGGAATGGAGTATTGGGTGATTTCCTAGTTGCCAAGGTGGTGCTGCGCTCCCTTTTTCTCTTTCCCATGTTCCAAAAAGAAGAATTGTTTATGGAAGTAGAACCCTTTTGCTTGACTGGAAAAAGGAAATGATGATGAAATGCTGTTGGTTGGTTTTGCAGGCGTTCTGCGATCTGGAGCCGATTTACACATACGAAGGAACTTACGACATCAACAGCTTGGTGACAGCAAGGGAAGTCACTGGCATCGCCAGCTTCAAGCCAACCTTTCTCACCAAACAAAGCCGCTTATAATTATTATTATTATTATTATATATTACGGGAAATGAAATACCGTCTGTAATAATAATTTAACTATTAATAATAAAGGTGGCACTGCATACGATTTTCCCATACTATCTGATAATAAAGGTGCCAACAATATTAGAAAGTGTTGTTTTATTAGTTCTGTAAGATCAAGACCTTGAAATAAAGTGTTGTTTTATCTTAGTTTGTCTTATAGTTGTGGATTGAGCATATGATTAAGTGGTGCCATATCCATTACCACGAGGCACGAGCAAATGTGGGCAAGCACAATGGGAAACAGAAGCTTGGTGAAACAGCAAATGTAATTAAGCAGTACAATAATCACCTACTTAGTACAATAATCACCATATAAAGATACATAATCAAAGCACCATTAACTAAAAATTGACCCCCCCTAATCCATAAATTTGAATGAAAAGGACTGAAAGTGAAGCACCTGTGATCAATTGCTCTCATCATTCCACCATCCATTGTGGGGGTTTATTACTCTTGTTAAGTAACTAACTAATTAACCAACTAAATATGACTGACTAGTGGGATTTTACAAAATTATATATTATTATTATTATTATTACTATGATTAGTAATTACGTGCGGCGACGAGCAGCAGCAGCAGCAGCAGCAGCAGCAGCAGAGTCTTGTAGCGATTCATCTGGAGCGACGGCGGCGGCGGCGACAGCAGCTTTACCCATCCCCAATGCCCTGACGGTGAGCTGGAGCCTGGTCCCCGCCGCCACAAACTCCACGTTCTGCTTCGGCCTCAGTACCTGACCGATTCTCATCACCGTGTTGGTCCTCAGCGTATCCGCGTTCCCGACCAGATTCTCCAGGGCCGACCTAATCGCCTCCGGCGCCGGGCAATTCGCACTCCCTTCATCCGCCGCCGCCGCCAGAACCACCCTCCCGCGCTTCCTCCCCCAGCCGCTCACCGGCGGGGCCCCGACGCTCTCGTGGATCCTGGCCAATTCGTCGTTGAGCATCCTCTCCTCCATCCTCGTCTCCTCCCTGACCCGCGCAATCCGCCGCTCCTGCTCCTCCGACAAATCGTTGACCGAGTCCCGCAGCACCCGGAACGCCAGCCCGGGCTTGAACCCGGCTATCCACAGGAAGCTCCGCTCCAGCGCCGAGAACCACGGCGGCGAGAACAGAACGAACACGTCGGATTGGGTGACCCGGGATTTCTCCTCGAAGTAGTGCTGGTAGTGGGTCAGGACCCGGTTCACCAGGTCCCGGAGGTCGTCCTCCCTCAAATCCCCCATCTTCTGCTTCACCGTCTGGAGCTCCTCCAGGTACTGCTCCTGCCTCACCAGCCAACCTTCGAAGAAGGCCGCGAATATCTCCGGCGCATTGTCCGGCTCCATCCTCCTCGCCCGCCGGTGGTGTTGGTGGTATTGATTCATCTCTCTCTCTCCGTCTTTCTCTCGGGTGAAGACTGAATTGGTGGATGGAATTTGCAAAACAGGGCTCCGAGAGGGGGAGAATCGAATTGGGCTGGCGATCTGAGAAGGGGATTCTTCAAACAGTTTATAGGTGGAGAGAGTTGGGGTGCCAAAATTACTGTAGTAGATCTTATCAAGAATTGGGACTTTTTGGGGTTGTTTTTTTTTTTCTTTTTTTTTCCCCTCCACTTTCTGTTCCTTGTGATGAAGGATTGCTGTGTGCAGAGAGAGAGTAGAGTAAAGGGGGGTTTGGTTTCCTTGTCGTCAAGAATCCGCTTGCTCTGTAACTCCGGCTGCGTCTTTTGGGTTTCCTATAGCAGAGGGTTGGAGATGGATGGGGATAAAATTGGTGGTCAAATTTTGAGGTGTTATAGCCTTTATAAACGTTTGAAGCGATTCAGAAGAACGAGGACACGTGTGCGCTGGGGATAAGGCCCCCCAAGCTGTAGGCTGAGGGAACTGGAAACTTTTTTACATTGCTAAAAATGCTGTAAAGAAAGAATTAACGGCGGCGCGGTCGAGGGGCAGCCCGCCGGTTCAAAAAAAAAAAAAAGAGGCAAAATCACCTCTACACACTACGGTCCATGAAACCGCATTGTAACGACGGTTCAACCACAAATACTAATATAAGAGCTAATGGTAGGTGGTATTTAACGGTTGAACTATATTTATAATGTTATTATTTTTGCAACCTACTACGAATTTTCATATTTTGAAAGTTTTGTAAAATATCTACACTGTTTATGTTGCAAATCAACTATATATATACATCTAAACGATCATTCATAAATTTCTCGTTCAACGTCGTTATTCTCATTTTCTTCCGATAATAAAGAAAATTTACTTGAAATACCAATAATTTGATTTGCCGAAAACGAAGAAGATTGAGACTCGTCCTAATTCCTTTTACTCTTTCTCATTCACCACTTGATCTTGAAGTGGTTAAGTTTGGAGTTGTGTTTGCTTTTTCAAAAAGCTCTCCATATGTTAATTCAAAGTATAAAATAATTAGTTAACCATCATATATAATAAATAAGCTATGAAATCCAAAGTATTGGAAAACAATTATGCATAAAATCATATCATTAACAAATTTGTTGTACAAATAATAAATTAGCCAAAATTAAAACCACAATCTTCCATATATCTATTTAATTCACCCATAAATTATAATATGACAAGTAAATTCGGGGAAATGGGAAAGAAGAAAATACATATAAATTTTAATTTATGATTATAATCTCCAAATTACTTGCATTGGATTTGAAGAATAGGCGAGAGCCTCGAGGAAAATAGAAGTTGGAAGCTTGAAGAGTGACTCGGTTATCACTACACTTAATCCCAACTATACGCCAAATAGACGGATGTAGAGTAGGGCAAGTATTTCTAGATCAACCTTGGCGGTCTAAAAATAGTCCACACGTTATCTAGCGAACGTTTTGTGGTTAAAGCTAAGAAGACTAAATAAATTAAACAAGCAAATCAACATTGGTGACTTCGATTGAGAAAGAACCGCTCGGACATTGCTCCTCCTAGTCTCATGTCAGGATACAACGAATGAAACTCTAGTATGATAAGCAATTAAGCATATACCGCGAGGAGGTCGCAATTAGCTAGGAAAACCCTAATCGTCTTAATCGATCGATTAAGGATGGTCACAATTAGCTAGGAAACGCTGAGCCTCTTAATCGATCGACCAAGGACTGCAAAATCGCTCCCTCGGAAGATAAACCAGAACGACAAAAAGTAACCAATCAAGACGATATCATGCCACTACTTCAATGAATGAGAAATGACCCGAATTTTCCTAGAGAAGGTTACCCAAATTGCCAATATTGAGCTATAAGGGGATTTCCTCCTTCTGGGTCAACGTGTCTCAAAATTAAGATATGAACAATCAACACCCAATTTCTACGAATAATACCTCAAATCTACACATAAATAAAAGCCAAAGGAGAAAACTTGAAGCCCCGTTCCAAATTTTCTGCATCCAGATTGAAAGTAGGAAGGGTAGATTCGTCTTCACAATCACTTTTTATTTTCTTATTTACAGAAAAAATACATCAGTAATGAGATTTGAACCGTGGTCTCTTCGAACAAAAATAAGAAACATAATCAGTTACAATGAACACATTTGTGTGATATTTTTCAAATAAAAACATACAGAAGCTTAAATCTGAAAAATATAAGACTTTTCCACCACGGTTAGCAACCGAAATGTCATTGATTCAAATATTGCATATATAGAATTGCACTCTTGAATGTGTAGAAGCGATGTAGAATTCTTAACATAGACTTAATTGTTATAACTATCATAAAGTAACGATATTTTTAAACACATAACTTTTGAGTGAATATGGGTCACATGTGTCTTTAAGAGGGGTAAATATGGAAATGTTGAGTGATGTTGGTTTGCCAAACGCGGATGGAAAAGACACTACTAATGTAAACGGTGACAAATAGTGCCCCGACCCATTAAACGCTCAACCATCGTCGTCTCTCCAAACTTCTCATCAGACTCAACAACCGGCTAACCTCCTCTACCTCTATTGTTAAGCCATAGCAATTTTTGGAGGGGTAAATATGGAAAGATTGAGTGTTGTTGGTTTGCCCAACGCAAATGAAAAATGTGCTACTAATGTAAACAAGCCCAAATAGTTTCTGACCCACTAAACACTCAACCACCAGGTTACTTTCGCTACACCTAATATAAGAGTGAAATGGGAAATGTGCTTCCCCCATTACAAAATCCCTGCATCCATAGCAAAAGTAGGAAGGGTAGATTCGTCTTCACAATCATTTATTATTTTATTATTCACAGGAAAAATACCTAAGTGATCGAATTTGAATTTTGTCTCTTTGAGAAAAGACAAGAAACATAACCAGTTACACTAAATAAATTTGTTTAAACTTTTTAAATTAAAAACATACAGGAAGCTTAAATATGAAAAATCATTGGAATTTTACATCACAGTTAGCTAAGCCACTAACTCTCCCTAAATATTTTTTTGGTATTTGATACTTCTATTTTCATACTTTGATGATTTTAATTCGAGTTTAACAATTAATTCTATTTCTCTTTATCTTATAAAAGGAGAATAATTTTAAAATCGCAAGCCTAATGTCATTGGTGCAAATATTGCACATCAAACTTAAATAATAGGCCAATGTCTATTTTTTACCCAAACCTTTTTCAGATTCTTTTATTTTAACCAAACCTATAGAAATTCTATTTATTATCCAAACGTATTATAATTTATCAAAGTCTGGGCATTCATTCTGTTACCGTTACTTATTTCGTCCACGTGAGAGGTGGGATTTTGTTTTGTTTTTTGATAATCTTTTTATTAAAAATAGTAAATGATGGTATTCTGACCGCCACCTAGGAAGTCAACTCATTATGGTCATGCTTAGTCAGCATTACTAACAGAAAAGTTGACGGAGAGTTAACATTTGGATGATTTTTAGGAATTCAATAGGTTTGGTTAAAATAAAAGAATCTGAAAAAGGTTTGGGTAAAAAATAGACATTGCCCTAAATAATATAACTACCAAAAAGCAACAATATTTTTGAACACGGAAGTTTTGAGTGAATATGTGGCACATGTGTCTTTAAGAGGAGGGTAAATATGGAAAGGTTCAGTGATGTTGGTTTGTCGAATGCGGATTGAAAAGCTGCAACTAATGTAAATAGGTCTAAATGGTGTCTCGACCTATGTACTGAACGATCAACCATCGTCGTCTTTCCAAACCTTCCCATCGGACTCGACAACCGCCTAACCTCCTCCACCTATATTGTTAAGCAAAGCAATTTTCGGAGGGGTATATATATGGAAAGATTGAGTGTTCTTGCTTGGAGAGCTGACTGGTGGATTATTTAGTTTCTTTGACAGTAATGTGTGATCTCTTAACATCAGTTCATTTGGTTGATCTTCTAGGTAGACTTTTGAGTTTATTAAAGATAAACAGTGTCCCGGGCTCCCATCCTACTAAAGGCTCAACCATCACCGTCTCTCCAAACCTTTCCATCGGACTCGACAACCGCCTATCCTCCTCCACCTATATTGTTACACAAAGTAATTTTCGGAGGGATATATATGTAAAGGTTGAATGTTCTTGCTTGGACAACTGACTGATGGGTTATTTAGTTTCTTTGATAGTAATGTATGATCTCTTAATAGTTGCTCATTTGTTTGATCTTCTAGGTTGACTTTTTAGTTGATTAAAGATAAATAACTATACTTTTTGTTGCTTTTGTTATGATACTCCTTGTCAGTATCATCATTTTTCTGATTTGAAATGTTTTGATGGTTAGTTTCCAGTAAACAAAGACTATTCTGATTAGTGTTAACATAGGGAATAACTTCAATCATACTACTTTTACACAAAATTTATATGTAAGAGCTGAGATCATTGCCGAATTAAACTATTCAAGCTATAATGCTGATCTTCAACATATAAAACATAGTTTATTTTGAGTGAAACAACCTCATGATTGCAGATAAGTTTGTACAATATGATATTTTGCGATAGTGTTTACTTGCTTCCAGATTTAAAAGTGGGGTTCTAATTATTACAATCTATAGATAATATAATAGCATGAAGGAAAAAATCCTTCCCCCATTTCAAATTTCCTGCTCCATGAGCGTTTGTAGGAAGAGTATAATAGGGATTGTCATTTTTTTCTCTTTCCTCTGTGGAACGGGGAAACTTACTGTACACGTGCGGACTTGAACGGGCCCAGATATTGTTGCGGCCCACAAAAACAGAACAAGTTCCAACCACGGCAGCATCTGTTTCATGCCTCCATAGCGATCACTGTAACCGAGTCTTGGATTGTTTCGATGCTGGATCTGGACTCCACCAACGCCGAGAATAAATGAGATAATTAGAGAAAGAGAGCTTCATAATTGTTTACAAAAT